GTTTAATCTGCTCCTCATCAAATGGTTTTTTTAATGCCTTTAAATGCTAATGGTTTTGCATTATTGTGATTTAAAAAGATAAAATGTTCATATGTTGGGGATAGTATGAGGCAAGAATAATACTCATGAACACAGGCACTTCTAGTAATCTCGATTCACATAACACGGTGTTCCTGACTGTGTCCGAGTGCAGTTCATAATGCAACGTAAGGACATTTCACAATGTCAGCATTACCAGAGTTTATTTAACAGTTAAAAAACAAACAGAACACATTACAACGGAAGTACACAGGGCCAAGAACTAAGCATTATATTTCCAGTTTCTGTACTGTGTAGCAAGAGGATGTAAACATTATACATAAAATAGCTACACTACCGTGCAAAACTTTAGGGTACTTTTTTGGGGGAGGGGGTGTGGGGGGGGGTATGCTCATCAAAGCTGCATTTATTTCATGCTTTATATTTGAATCATTTTAAAATGTAATTTATTCCTGTGATGGCAAAGCTGAATTTTCAGCATCATTACTTCAGTGTCACATGATCCTTCAGAAATCATTGTAATATGCTGGTTTGAGCCTCAAAAAAGATTTTTTTTAAGGATTCCTTGATTAATATAAAGTTCAAAAGAACAGCATTTGAGAAATATTTTGTAACATTATAAATGTCTTTACTGTCACTTTTGATCAATTTAATGCAGCAATTTATTCCTGAGTATAAGTTCACTGACAATAATTTGTTGTAGAATTTAATTTGCACTTTGGAATTTGCTAGTTAATTTCACAAATATTGAATGTTAAATTAAAAGGTTAATCCACCCCAAAATGAAAATTGTGTCATTAATCACTTACCCCCATGTCGTTCCAAAACCGTAAAAGCTTTGTTCGTCTTCGGAACACAATTTAAGATATTTTGGATGAAAACCGGGAGGCTTGTTACTGTCCCATTGACTGCCAAGTAAATTACCGTATTGACCCGAATATAAGACAATGTTTTTTTCTTGGAAATACATCTGAAAAAACGCGATCGTCTTATATTCAGGGTCTAGACTTTGACATGTCAATAATACACCCACAACAATAGGTGGCGCCAAATATGCATAAAACGAGTGTGCCATGAAATACGTCATGTAATGCGTGTTGTAAAGATCACGAGTAAAAACAAAAGAAAAAGAAAAGCTTACAGCTGCATGAGTCGTGACTGTCACGTTAGCCTGATGGGACCAAACTCTCTTTGTGATTTTAAAACGTAAGACAGTACCCAGATTTGAAGACTACAGTAAGATTTAACTTCTACTGTTAATAAGATTTTGGTAGGCTACTATTAGATGAATAGTCTAAATGTCCTAATTCAGATGGGCTACCGTTTTTTTTAAATATTTTTTTATGGTATATCAAAAAGTGTATATTTTTTAAATGTGATTGTTGGTACATTTTACCAGTTTTTACCATACTTTCAAAACCAAAATTAAAATAGGAAAAATATGCAATATGAAAATAATTGAAGACAAAATGTGTTTTACTGAGAAAAAACAAGATTTGGTTTTTAAAAAGCCTTTTTCCAAAAGGTACAATTGTTGAATAAAGTCGTTATTTTTGTTTTCTTTGAGTACAAAAAGTATTCTCGTCGCTTTATAAAATTCAGATTGAACCACTGATGAAGATGGACTATTCTGACGATGTCTTTCATACTTTTCTGGACCTTGACAGTGTTATTTACTTGGCAGTCAATCGGACAGTCACAAGCCTCCTGGTTTTCATCCAAAATATCTTAAATTGTGTTCTGAAGACGAACGAAGCTTTTACGGGTTTAGAACGACATGGGGGTAAGTGATTAATGACAAAATGTTCATTTTGGGGCGGAGTAACCCTTTAAACCTTACATTTTAAAATAAAAATAGACCGAAATAGTAGTTTATTATAAAATGTACTGCAATAATCTTTGCTTTATTTAACTTCAAAAATTGTGTCTTATTAATTTCTATCAAAATAAATCAACAAATTGCCCCCAGATTTGTTTATTGAGTCTTTCAACTGCATCACAATAGGTAAAACTAATGCATTTTGAAATTTCGAATGTTAATGAATGTCAAATCAACTGTGGACCCCACTGACTTTCATAATATGGACAGAAAAACATTCTTCAAAATGATGACAGAAATGTAATAAATTTTTTAACTACTGAAATTGGAAATTTTTTAAGTATGTTAAGCAAATTCATCCTAGCTATATACACTGATCATGCACAGTGCTAGGTACTAAATGACAGAGGTGGAAAGAGTACTAACATATTCTACTTAAGTAAAAGTAATGAAATTTTACTGAAGTACAAGTAAAATTACCAGTCTAAAAATCTACTCAAGTAAAAGTAAAAAGTCGCTCATTTAAAATTTACTCAGAGTAAAAGTTACTTAGTTATATTTTAACAGTGGGAGGGGGGCAAAAGGGGATAACATCTCAAACTAGTTGTTTTTAATTAAAGGAACACCTTTACAAAATAAACTGCAATAACAAAATAAAGCATGTCGACACATGATATATGTATCATTTTAATGCAGACCATCACACTTTAAGTAGGCAAAAAAAGTTATATTCTGGCTAAAACAAAACAAGCTAAGAACCGCTTATACATTTTTTTAATGCTTTTTAAGGATTAGAAAGTCAAGTCTTCACATTGGTTATTTCAGTAGCATGAGAAACAAAACCATTTTTTATTATAAATTAAACAAAGAAAGCAAACAAATGACCCTAAAGCGGTCCATGACTTTAGTCTAATGTGAGCTATGCACTTTCGCAAAAACTCCCATAATCATTGAAGCAAATCAATGGCTTACATTTATTTTGCATTTTATTGTTTATGATTATGACAGAATTCGCTAATGCAGATACAGAATTCAGTCAGTGAGTGCACTGAACATAGTTACAGGTCATAAGTAATCCAAAAGTAATCAGAATATAGTAATCTAAAATGCATTACTGACTTAAATTTTTCCTCTTGTAATTTGTAATCAGTAACAGACAACAATTTGTAAGTAAGCCACACTGGTAAGGTTTTTGCGTTCTTGTATACAGTATGACCTGAGATTTCTGGTTGTGAGTGTAGTTGTGTAATACAGATCCGTGAGTAGAGTTTGAACTGGAATCCAGATGAACTTGTCAGTGCAACAAGTCCCAAGGTCAATAAATGTTCATTTAGACAACATATCATTCTTTCTTCATGCACGTCTTTGTGAAATCGATAGCTGCAGCCTAAGGGGACACTCCAGTCTGAGCGCCGCACGGAAATCTGCTCCATGATTTAGCGGCGTCCCAACCTCAGGGGAAGTGGTTTACTTTGCTTGGCTCCTGTTGAGCTTTGACTGGATGCTGGCCAGCAAGGGGAGTAAAGTTTGCCTCTCGGGTTGCTCCTGCAAACACAGCCCTGGCTTTGATTTCATAGCTCCTTCTCGTTAGCCCTATTGGGGATCAAATGGAGGTGGTGGGGGGTTCTGTGAGTCGTGATCTCTCAATAAATATAAATGCTGATACCACTTTGGAAAAGCCTCGTGTCTACTAAAAGATCAAAGTTAATGCTCAGTGTGAGGGTGGTGGAGTCATTCAAACCGACGGATGCATTGCAGAGCCTTTCTGCAGGATTTGTAGTCGGTGTGATTCATTCCTCTCAGCTTTAGGCCTTTTCCATGTTGTCTTGTCAACCATTTGTCCAGCAGCCTGTCTTTATTGTCACTAGTACGCTATAGTTTCAACTTGTTAAATTAGGCAAATTGTTAAATTAGGCAAAAAAAAATATATATATATTTTCAAGAGTCATACTTTATACCTGTCTGAGTTTTTTTTTTCCAGCCCCAAAAATGATTATGTATAAAGACAATTAAATCTATTTAGGGACAGTTATGTTTTTGTTTTGTTTTGTTTTTTTATGACATTACTTTCATGATATTTAAGTACATTCTCTCTCAATACCATAATGCACTTCTATAATTCTCATTACTCTAATGCTAAAAAATAGTTTAATATTTACTATTTATTATATTGTTATATTTTATTTATATATATATACTGTATATGTATATGTGCAAACATAATTGTATTAAAGTATATTTTTTCATTCTTTTATTTTCATTTCATAAAGCTAAAATAGTATTTGAATATATGTATTATTTATTATATTATTTAAAGAATATTTTTTGTCATTTCATTATTAATAATATATTAATATTTACAATGAATATATTACATTTAAAATTCCAAATAATACTGTGTTTTGAATTACCCATTACATTGTGTTGTATTTTGCAATTAAAGAAAATGTTGTTAAACTTAACAGAAAATGTCCTGGCAGAAAATTACAGCATTTAAAATATATAAATGTGATGTTTTTTCTTACACTACATCATCAGCAATGAAAAAAATGTACAAAAATAAAAACTCAAAACATGTATTATGATAATGAATTAACAACAATTTTACAAATGCATTGCGGTTCTAAAAATAGGCTTCATTTTCTTGTTGTTTTGGGTTTAAATAATGACCTTAATGTGTGTTTTGATGAGATTCATCCATCAAGATAATTTACTAACAAGATAATTGAGCATTAATCATTCTCTCCCCAATTTGGTTTCAATGAACTACATTTTCAGTCAACAGAAGAGGAGAGAAATAGGGAATACGTTTTTGAGTCCCTCCCACTAAGCTCCCCTGGGTCTGAGGCTCATTGACACATCAGCACAGAGAGAGAGAGAGAGAGTGAGAGAGAGAGACTGGCAGACAGACTGCACAGTAGGTGAGTTTGGAGACTGAGCCGGTGACACAATGGAAAAGACTATGAAGCGAAGAGTGAGCTATTAATCCAGCTACTATCAGTGCAGAATGACTACATCAGCAGCACTCAGTCCACCATGAAAGATCACTGCTCCTCTATCTGCACCGCTCCCACCGGACCACCTTTTCTGGCCATGCAGCAGAGGCTGGATCCTGAATGCATATCCGTGTGTCTCTTACCAGATGAATCCTACCAGAAGCTGGCCGTGGAGACCATGGAGGAGCTAGACTGGTGCCTGGACCAGCTGGAGACCATCCAGACGTACCGCTCCGTCAGTGACATGGCCTCCAACAAGGTGAGACGGCAGCTCGTCTACTCCCACTTTACCTCAGCATTGCTGGAAACAGCAGGGCATCTTTATGCATGTTTTCAGAGAAATTCACATTTCAATTCTCTTAGAAATGAAGGTTCTTTATTGGCACTTACGGTTCCATTTAGAACCTTTAACATCCATGGAATCTCTCCATTGCACAAAAGCTTCTTTATAGTGGAAAAAAAGTTCTTTAGATGTTCTTCACACTAAGAAAAATGGTTCTTTTAGAAACTGTTAATTGAAAGGTGTTTTTCTACGGCATTGCTGCAAAACCTCTCTTTTGGAACTTCTATTTCTGACCCTGGACCACAAAACCAGTCTTAAGTCGCTGGGGTATATTTGTAGCAATACACTGTATGGATCAGAATTATTGATTTTTCTTTTATGCCAAAAATCATTAGGATATTAAGTAAAGATCATGTTCCATGAAGATATTTTGTAAATTTCCTACCGTAAATATATCAAAACTTTTGATTAATGATTTTTGATTAGTAATATGCATTCTTCATTTGGACAACTTTAAAAGCGATTTTCTCAATATTTTAATTTTTTTGCACCCTCAGATTCCAGGTTTTCAAATAGTTGTATCTCAGCCAAATATTGTCCTATCCTAACAAACCATGCATCAGTGTTAAGCTTATTTATTCAGCTTTCAGCTGATGTATAAATCTCAATTTAAAAAAATTGACCCTTATGACTGGTTTTGTGGTCCAGGGTCACATTTCTATAAATGTACTGCAAAGTGTGTTTGTCTGAGATTTTTCAGTTTGTGTTAGAAGAGTAGTTTTTATTGCGTTCCACATTCACGTGTTATTTCAAAGCCTAGCAAGTCAAAGTTTTGTTGGAATAACAATGAGATGCAATAAGGAAGATTTTCCACTCTATTGTAGCATTTTACAAACACTGCTTATGGCAATAGTCCATAAAAAATAATCATTCTGTCATCATTCACTCACCCTCGTGTCATTGCAAACCTCTGTGCGGTTGCAGTCAAACGGTTTTGGTCCTCATTGACTTCCTATGGAAACCAGAACTGTTTAGTTAACAACAAAATATCATCTTATGTGTCCAGCAGAAGAAAGAATTTCATACAGGTTTGTAATGAAATGAGTTTGAGTAAATGATGTCAGAATTTTTCTTAAACTAAACTATCGCTTTAAGTATCTTTTATGATGGTTTATTAGTTTTTAGTGCTGATGCATGAACACAGTATGTGGTTGGTCATGTAGAACAGAGTCTATGAGGTTTATACTGCGAACGTCATGAATGATGAGATGTTGATGTGAGATCTACAGATATTGCCACATTTATATGTCAACAGTAAAGCATGCAATGACAACTTGACTGATTATTACCCAAAGAATTACAGAAGAAACATTAATATAATATCTTAGTTCCAGTTTGTTGTCTTAGTAAAAGACAGTTGGCCCAAGCAATTATTTGATCTTTTTTAGCATATTTTATCTCTCACAAGAATTCAACTCTGTATGTGTGGGTGGTTATGGATTCAGTGGATTTACTGGAATCAGTGTTGAAAGGAAACTGTTGAAACACTCATTACTTAGAGTGAAAAACTAAATGATTAAACCCTTTTTTCACGCAGGCATTATTTGAGTACACTGCCACTGGCCTCTTTGTCAGCTGTGACCTCATTGCTTTGTTTACCCTGATACCTAATCAGAAGTAGATAGTAACAGAGGACACACATTACCTCACTGACATCCAAGCATTACACTGCATTTGATCATATAATGCAGTTATTAATTTTATTTCACATTGTAGAATTATAGCTGTAGCAAAAATTCTACTACCACAATTTAACATTTAATTCAATATTACTTGCCATTTCTTTGTAATTATTTATGAAATGTACTATTCTAAACTGTACACCAATTTTATTTCAGTGTATATATGATATATACAGTTATTTTTAAATATGAGATAAAGGATAAAAGTAACAAAGAATAATTTTATTTTGGGGTCTGTTACTTTTTTCTCATTTTTAAAAATCACTTTGCCTTGGCGGATTTAGATACAATATAAAACTGATGCCTGATATATATTTCATAATACACAGAATAAAATAATTTACAGAATCAAATTATATTTCATTCTATTTAACTTTCTGTAATATTTGCTATACATATACAGTATATATATACATATATATATACACACACACACACACACATATATATATATATATATATATATAAGGTTCATTATATTTATAGTTATTATAATAGGCAAATATCATTTATTGACTAAATTATTTCTATGTATTGTTGTTTATATATACTAATTCTGTATATACTAACTAATGCTGTAAAATATACATGAGAGTCAGTTGGTACTACATTACTATAATATTGAAGGTTAAACCTAGCTGATTTTTTAGGCTATACAACTGCTTAAATTACACTTAATGAAGTTTTTATAATAAAAGTTACAATTACATAATAATATTTCTATTTAATTTAGTTTTTTACATTTAAATGTTGGCTGTCATAAAAAATATATAAATTAAACATTGAAGAAAAGTAAAAATTATAATAAATTTATATGGTGCATATATTTAGCAAAATGCCCCTCTCTACAGTTTAATTTTCTAGCTGACTAATGAGCTTATGGTCACCGAATATGTTTTTTTCTGAGGTGACGTTACGTGCCATTTTTACAAGCCGTTATATCAAAGTCCCTTTAAGGCAAGTCATGTCACTCGGCGGCCATCTTTGAAACGCCTCTCGGGCATGCAAGTGCAGCTCCTATCACTTTGAATGGGGAAACATCAAATTCTCAAAAACTGCTCGCCAAGCTTACAATTAAATTTCATATTTGAAATCGCCAATGAAACAACTGTATCATAAATGTTGTTTATTTTGCTCAAATAGCGTTAAAAAAGCGTATTTTTCAGGCTAGATCAGCCAGTCCTAAGCTGTTTCTATAGCAACCGGGACTTCTAACGGCAGCTGCAGTGACGCGGTGACTTTACCGATTAGTGATTGGCTCTTTTGCTGAGAATGTGGGGCTTCGTTCGATAGAGTGGCCATATTGAGTGTTGCATTTTTCCTCATTCAAAAGTATACGAGTGACACGTCTTGGGTATTCTATAGTCTTTGGTTATATATATCTTTGCGCGGCTGAAACACTGAGCGATTACATGAGACAGGATATGGTTTGTAAAGTTGTACTCTTTCTTTTAATATACCTTCGGATGTTTAGGCATGTTTATTTTGTGCTGAAGCTGGTATTAATGTGGAGGAGATGATCAGTACAAGTGCGCTACACGCTGCGGCGTCTGTTGAACTGAGGCGCTACAGCGATCTGTCACTCACCACAGCGCCAAAACGGCATTTATTACTGCAATACAATTTGAAGTACCAAAACACAATGCTTATTGAGATATAGTGGATGCGAAGTGCCCTTCAACGTTCTGTCCATTAACTGAAAACAGGCTAGAATAATCGATTCTTGAGAGATTTAAGAATCGATATCGTTTCGTAAAAATGAGAATCGATTAAAATCGAGATATCGATATTTTTTACCCAACCCTAATATTATAGCTGTCAGATTAACGCGTTAACTTAATTAATTAGTTATGAAAAAATAACGCAATTAAAATATTTTAACGCAATTATCGCACATATTTATATCGTATGATAAGTGATATCACACAAGCAGCGAGAGCAATATCACACGAGAACTGTTGTGCAATAATAGCTTTAAATGATCTTCTGTGGGTATTTTCACAGCCAAATTTAGTTAGCGATTAATTAGTTTAATTAAATGTTTAATCGACTGACAACCCTAATATATATATATATATCATTTACAGAATAAAAAAAAAATCTAGGTTTAGGTGATTATTTTAAAATAATTTATTATTGTTGGTTTATTATTTATAGTTAAATCTTTCTTTGAACCGGAAAGGTGACACATAATGAAATTCAGCTACGTTGTGCAAGTCTTCGATTCACGTCATTATCTATGAAAGACAAAAGTCTGAGTCTTCTTGTCATGCCTTTGAAGTTGTGTGAGTAGTAATTGAGCGAGTTCCACCCGTGTGTGCAGTCAGAACATGAGTAGCGCGGTACCTGCGGCTGCAGACAGAGAGAGGGAGGCGCTGGGAGTCGTGAGGGAGGAGAGGTGAATCACTCAGCACTTAGTCGAAAGCATTTCCTGACACCCGTCAAAGTGAGCTCACAGGCACTGCCTTGCCACATGCTCACCAACAGTGCACAAACACCATCGCTGCAACAATGGGACTATGCTACTCAGAGAAAAGGATCAAGTTTGGTGTGCTAATGAGAACTGTTGTGCAATAATAGCTTTAAATGATCTTCTGTGGGTATTTTCACAGCCAAATTTAGTTAGCGATTAATTAGTTTAATTAAATGTTTAATCGACTGACAACCCTAATATATATATATATATATATCATTTACAGAATAAAAAAAAAATTCTAGGTTTAGGTGATTATTTTAAAATAATTTATTATTGTTGGTTTATTATTTATAGTTAAATCTTTCTTTGAACCGGAAAGGTGACACATAATGAAATTCAGCTACATTGTGCAAGTCTTCGATTCACGTCATTATCTATGAAAGACAAAAGTCTGAGTCTTCTTGTCATGCCTTTGAAGTTGTGTGAGTAGTAATTGAGCGAGTTCCACCCGTGTGTGCAGTCAGAACATGAGTAGCGCGGTACCTGCGGCTGCAGACAGAGAGAGGGAGGCGCTGGGAGTCGTGAGGGAGGAGAGGTGAATCACTCAGCACTTAGTCGAAAGCATTTCCTGACACCCGTCAAAGTGAGCTCACAGGCACTGCCTTGCCACATGCTCACCAACAGTGCACAAACACCATCGCTGCAACAATGGGACTATGCTACTCAGAGAAAAGGATCAAGTTTGGTGTGCTAAAAAGCTGGAGAGAGGTGAGTTAGTGCAAGGGGTTTTTCGAACAAATTCTGGCTTTGCTTTGAGGTTTAATGCTGAAGGAACTGATTTGTCTGTTATTGGAGATTGGTTGTCATCTTTTGTTTAAGGGATTGGCTTATGCTTTCTGTTGTTATAAGAAAAGAGAACATGAGCTCAGAATTGTCTTTTATATTTGGAAGTTCGAATATGTTTAGATGTGTGCAAAAATTTAAATACATTAGGGAGAAAAATGGGAATAGCACAGCAGTTTGACTTTCGCAATTTTTATTTTTATTATAACTTTTATTAGAATTTATTTTACAACTGCAATTTTAATTTTAAGGTTAAATTTAAATAATTCATTGATACTACTCTTTTTATATTTATATATATATATATATATCTAGAGAGAGAGAGAGATTTATTTAAAAAAATGTAAAAACTATTTATTATTTTAAAATAATATCCTGTACTATAAAATATATAATAATTTATTTTGAGGTCAAATTGAAATAATTAATTGATACTATTAATTTTTGTAAAAAATAATTCATTTATTTAAGAAATATTTAAAAACAGTAATATCCTGTTCTATAAAAATGTATTATATTTTATAAGAATCGATTTAAAATAAATAGGAAAATTTGTAATTATTAAATAAGTTTTTTATAAGCATTTTTAGATTTGAACTATTAAAACATTTATACTTCAGTTCAACAGTGTCTAATATCAGCTGAAGTGCACTTACATTGCATTTATGCATTCAACAGAAGCTTTTATCCAATGCAACTTGCAAGACTTGCAATATATTTTAGAAATTTTGCATTCCCTGGGGG